TGGGGCACCCCTGCGCCTGCTGCCCATACCTGGGGACCCAAGAACAGCCCCACCGGTCAGCAGTGGCCCCGGGCCATGGGCTCTTAGGTGGGGTTGCCCCCGGGGGACAGTGCGTGACCCTCCCAGCCTGCAGCCAACTCCAGCACCTCAGGTCTCCCCAAACCCTGGATGCCCCCCCAACGCTGCCCTCTGTATGTCTCCCACTCACCCATCCGGCCCCTCCTGCTGCCACCTACCGTGACCGTTTGACTGGCCCGTAGGACGTATTTGGGTGTGAACTTGTAGGCAATCTCATCCCCTTCAAAGACCTGCCTCTTGATCCTCCAGTTGCCCAGGGACTGATCCTGGAGGAGGTGGACACCCGGTTGACCCGTGGCCTGCGGCATGGAGCCTGCTGTGCCCAGCAATACGTGCCTCCCAAAGAGGCCGCTCACCTTATCCGAGTGGTTCTTCAGTCGCACGAACCTGCCTTCCATGTCCACCTCCTCGATGCTGATGCCTCCCGTGGCTGAGGCCTGCTGTGCCAGGCGGAAGCTGCTGCTGCCACCACTGCTGCTGCCCGAGCCAATGCCGCTTGAGCTAGAGCCACTGCCTGGAGTCTCCTCTGCCTGGAGCCGCCGGCGCTTGCTGCGGCCTGGGCGGCTGGCAGTGGACACACTGCTGGTGCTGCTGCTTGAGGTAGCCCGTGAGATGGTGACCCTCGTGGACGGGCTGGGTGTCAGCTTCAGCCTGGGGGTGGCATGGGGAGCGCATCACAGATAGCCCCAGAGCTGGGGACCTGGGTTGCCCCACTCCTCCCGCCACACACCGCTCCTCCTCGCCCTCCAGCAGCTTTCGGTAGGCACTGATTTCCACGTCCAGCGCCAGCTTCACGTCCAGCAGCTCCTGGTACTCAGCCAGCTGCTGCTGCATCATGTCTCGCATCTGTGTCATCTCCTGCTCCTTGGCAGCCAGCACACTTCGGAACTTGTCCCGCTCCCCAGCCATGGCTGCCTCCAGCTCCCGGATATGCTCCTCGTCAGCACTGGCCTAGGGAGGGCCAGGTAGCGGGGTCAGCGATGCCTCTGAGGTCCCAAGACTCAACCCTGGGCCTCTCCTGGGCTGTCCATGGTGGCTCTGGGCCTGGGCTGGGACACAGGCAGGACAGGAGCTGGGGAGCATGGTGGCCAGGCCAGATGTGGAGGGGGACGGAAGCCAGACCTCTCTCTGGCCACAGTGCTGCGGTGGGAACCAGGGGAGTCACCTTATTCTGGAGGCTGGACAGCTGGTAGCTGAGGGACTCAATGCGCATGTGTGCCTCCTTTAGCTCCTCCCGGGCGGCACTGGCTGCCTTGTTGTTCTGGTCGGAGCTCAGCCTGGCGTTCTCCAGCTTGGGTAGGGGGAGACACGAGCGGTGACACACGACCATGGGTGGCCTGTCCCACCACCCTGCAACACCGCAGGCACCTTGGTCTGGTAGCTCTGCTCCAGCTCCAGCCGGTAGAGCCGCACTTGTTCATCGTGCTGGCTGCGCAGCTCCTCCAGCGCCTGTGCCATCTTGAAGTCGTACTCCTGCTGCCGGCTGCTGTCCACCTCTACCAGGCGCCGCTCGTGCCGCCTCCGTGTCTCCTGCACCTCCTGGAGGGGATCAGGCAGGTGACCCCAGGAATAGATCCCCCTCCTGCCCCCCTCACTGTACCTCCAGGCACCTCCCTGGTGACCTGGCCCCAAAGGATCCACAACGTGGAAACATTCACAGGAGCCTGATCACGACTGGCCACGTGTCCATTAGTGGATAGATGGACGCACAGCGGGGTCCACCTCATGCTGGAATGTCACTTGCCAGCGTAGAGGGACCTTGAAGATGCCATGCTCAATGACAGACTCCAGACACAAAAGAACACACAGGGTAGAGCTCCATAGACAGGAAATGCCTAGGACAGGTGACTCTCTAGACAGGAAGTGCCCTCATGGGTGTGGGGCTGAGGAGGGGACAGGTGACTGCTTATGGGGATAGGGCTTCCTTTGGGGTGATGGAATGTTCTGGAATTAGTGGTGATGATTGCATAACCTTTTCTTTGTTTTTTTGAGAGGTCTCACTGTGTAGCCCAGGCTGGTCTCAAACTCAGGCGATCCTCCTGTCTCAGCCTCCTGAATGCTGGGATTACAGGTGTGTGCCATTATGCCCGGCTTGCACAACCTTTTGAATACCCTAAAAATGACTGAATTCTGTAGGTTACGAGTGTGAACTTTATAGCACAGGCACTGCATCTTCTCAAAGTTGTTATTTAAGAAGAGGACTTAATTACTGACACAGCCCATCCCAGGTCACTGGGGCCTAGATACAAGTGGCAGTAGATCAAGTCCTCAGGACAACAGTGGGACAAAACAGGGGCAGTGATGGGGCTACCAGGCACATGTCCCACCAGGGCAGCTGTCCCACAGGGTCCTGCGCTTCAGGAAGGAAGCTGCTTCTTCTGAAGGTTGGAAATCGCTCTAGCACAGGAGTCAGGTCCTTCCACACTGTGGGGCTAGGGTACACAGTGTAGGCTGTCTCACCATCTCTAAAGGAAGTGGGCATCTTGCAGCCAGTGGAGCTGTGCCTGGCAATCACGGGCACTCACCTGCATGGTTCTCCTTGGGGACTTTGGCCAGGAGCCCTTCCGGGGTGCCCTCCCAGGTGCCCTTAGGGCCATCTCCCTGTCTCTTCACCGCTCCCTTTGTGGGTCTCTTCCTGGGTCCCCTCTTGGCTCTCTTCAGAGCTCTCTGTGCAGGGCCCCTGGCAGAATTCTTCAAAGATCCCTTCAGAGGTTTCCTCATGGGGGCCCTCTCAGGTTTTGGGTCCCTTGAGGGACCACGCAGATTCCTTCCTGGGTCTCCTCAGGCATCTCCTCACAGCACCCTTCGTGAGCATCTCAATGAGCTCTCAGGAATTTCTTCACAGACTCCCTCATGGGTCCCTTCCTGAGCGCCCTCACAGACCTAGTGTCCATCACAGGTTCCTGCATGGGTTCAGATCTCGCTGTGGGTCTCTCCACAGGTTCCTTTATGGGTCTGGATACCCTCACAGGTCCCTTCCCAGGTTCTGTCATTGGGGCAGGTTCCATCACAGGTCTCTCTACAGACTCAGCAGTCTAGGTATGTTTGTGGGTCTCCTCACAGGTTCCTTCATGGGTTGATTCCTTCAAGGCTTTGGGTTCCTTCACGGGTCTCTCCACAGCCTCCTTCCTGAGTTTAGGTTTCCTCCCGTGTCGCTTCTCAGGTTTCTTGGCAGCTCTGCATTCCCGCACAAGTCTCTATAGATCCTTTCATGGGTTTCAAGTCCCTCATCAGTCTCTTCACAAGCTCTTCCGTGGGTTTTGGTTCCCCCAGGGGTCTCTTCACTGGTTTCTTGATTGTTCCCGGTTCCCTCAAGGGAGTCTCCACAGGTTCCTTTCCGAGTTTCAGTTTCCTCATGGGTTGTCGCCTCACAGTCTTCTTGACGTACCTGGACTCCCTGACAGGACTCTATACAGCTTCCTTCATTACTCCAGGTTCCTTCATGGGTCTCTCCACGGGTTCTTTCATAATTTCAGGCTCCCGCATGGGTGTGTGCCCTCATTCCCTCATGGGTCTGGGTTCACCCATGCCTCTCTCCATGGGTTCTTTCTTAGGCTCAGGTTTCCTTGTGGGTCTGTTCCTAGCCTCCCTGAGGTGTCCAGCATCCCTGACAGGTCTCCTCCTGGGTTCCCTCACAGGCCCCCTGGCAGCTGCCCTGGAGGCCTCCCAGGCTCACTTGGCACCTCGCTCTCTCACTTAGCCTCTGGGGAGCCAGGCACAGCTCCACACCTACCCAGCCATCCTTCTGGGCAGGAGTCCTCCTGGCTGAAGTGCTGGCCCAACCCCAGGATTCTGGGGTGCGCTATGATATCACCATTGGCTCTGGTGGGTGGGATCCAGCCAGAGGACCCCATAGGCCCAAGCCCCATCCACACCCAGGTCCCATAGGACACAGGGACCTGGTCACTCGGAGCCACCTCCAACTGTCCCAAGTGGCCAGAGGCCCAGAGACTAGGAGGCTGCAGGCTGGGAGAAAATGGCTGAGATGGGGAGAAAAGGGGGATTAAGTGTAGAGGGGAGCAAATGGATCCCACCCTTCCCCCTGAGGGGAGATCTCATGGTGGGTGGGGTGGCAGGCCCCAAAATCCTGATTCCTGCAACCCATGAGAGTGAACTTATGTGGAAATAGAGTCCTTGTAGATGTAACTGAAGTGAGGATTTTGAAATGAGATTCTATTCAGGTGGCCCTAAATCCAGTGACAAATGTCCTCAAAGAGATCCACAGAAGAGGGACACAGAGGAAGGGGCCAAGTGAAAACACACAGAAGACTTGAGCTATAGCCCCAGGGTGCCTGGAGCTGCAGACCTGGGGGAGCTTAGAAGGCCCTCCCTGTCACCTCGTAGGGACCCGTAGTCTCCAGGGCTGGCCAAAGCAGCCAAGGAAGCAGCCAGGTGACGGCTGAGGTGCCCTCACTCACCTCCTCAAACACACTCTTCTGGAAGTCCAGCTCCTCCTGCAGGCTCTGGCAGCGGTTCTCCAGGTCCACGCGCATCAGCGTCTCCTTCTCCAGCTGCTGCTTGGCCACCGTGTGACCATCCCTTGCCTGGGAGACACAGGACAACAGGCTGCGGCAGGTGCACACGTGCAGCGCTGACAACCTGAGGTGGCTCCCAGGCCTACCTTGGCCACCTGCGCCTGGAGCTCCACCACGTCGCCTTCTAGGCTGCGCTTGTCACTGAGGGCGGTGGCCAGCTCCACCTCGCTCCGGTGGAACAGGGACTCCAGGTCCTTCACGCGGCCCTGGGCCACCGTGAGCTCGCCCTCCCGCTTCTTGGCACTGAAAGTCAAGAGAGGACCTCAGCCAGGAGGGGCAAGCGGCCATGGGCCCTGGGAGTCCCTCTGGCAGCGCCTGAGACACCAGGAAGCCTGAGTACAGGGTCAAGGTCGGCAGGCCCTGAGCCCAGGGCCCCATCAGTTTCAAGGGGCCGAGTTCCTCATCCCACGGGACAGGAAGCCAGGCTGGATGGGGCAAAGGTACATGGGTCTTCAAAGCCACCCCACGCCACAGGACCCCACTACCCGCAGGCAGTGTGCAAAGCCATTACAGGTCCTTTCCTGCAAGCTTCAGACACAGGCATAATGTGCAAGTGTGATAAAAAATACAGTGAATACTTTAAAAAAATTTATTATAATGAAATACACATTGCCACGAATCCCCCTCAAAACACTGCCCCCTGCTTCAAACACACTCATCCCATCTTCCTTTTATTTTTTGGTACCGGGGATTGAATTCAGGGCCTTGCGCTTTCCAGGCAGGCGGTGGAACCACTGAGCTAAATCCCCAGCCCTCCATCTTCCTTTAAGTACACATTTGCAGTAAATGATGAAATTCATCTGGGGAGTTGGTACATGTACTAACTGATGAATTCTTTTCCTGTCCCCTTTCCCTTTCTAAAGCAGTTCTGGGCTGGGCATGGTGGCACATGCCTGTAATCCCAGCTGAGACAGGAGGATCAGCATATGTGAGCCTCGCCTGTGCTACACAGTGAGTTCAAGGCCAGCTTGAACTATATAGCCAGACCCTGTCTCAAGGGAAAAAAACAACAATGAGATAAGTGTTCCAGAAGCAAGGGGAAGGATTCTGAGAGAGATTAATGCTGATGTCTTTTGTTTTTTTTGGCCTGGAGGTGACCTTGTTTCTAAACAAACTATTTCAGGCAGGCTCACCTGGTATTTCTACCAAATATTAATACAGTGGACCCTCAAGTTACAACCGGGCTGACATACGAACAACTTGGGTTAATTAGGTTAATGGAAGATCACCTGCCTCTTATCTATAGTGTGTACCCAGGTAAACACCCAGATCTCAGCTATATTAACTTGCAACCAATCTGAGTTACAACCAGCCCTTGGGAACCGATCCAGTTTGTAAGTCAAGTGCCCACTGTACTGAAGATAGCAAATAGTTTTTAAACACAAATATCACCCTCATAGCTCTTAGGCTGTGAATGCTCGAAGGCTTATTAATCTCGGACTTGGGTGCTTGTTCCCCTCCCTCAGGGAGCTGCGTCCCCTCAGGCAATAACCGGTCACCCAAGCCCCACGTGGCACTGATGGGGGGGAGGCTGGGCCATCCTCCAGGGTGGGGGTGTCCTGGGCACTGTGGGGTGCTGAGCAGTATCCCTGTCCTCTACCTGCTTCAAGCCAGCAGCACATCTGAGTCTGAGGCGGGAGGAAGTTCGAAGGGTGGAGGGGACATCACCATAGGGCCCTGGGGAGGGACCACAGGATAGGGCGCGACCAGGCCGAGGCGACTGCTTGTAGGAGAAGGGTGAGCCCAGCAGAGGAGACTCAGGCCGGAGATACCTGCCCAGCAGGCCTAAGGTCAGCAGAGAGCCCAGGGTGACAGGGGCAGAGGGGTGGGGGCCTTCACCCCACGTTAGGGTTCTGCAGATCTGGAGAGGGGCTCTGGTGCCCAGGGGCTTTCACTCCACCTCCAAGGGAACTGGGGTTCCCAGGAGGATCCCTCACAGATCCCCAAGAATTCCTGAGGGCCATGAGGGAGCAACAGGCTCACTCCTTAGGTCCCCACATGGCTGCCTGTCTGTCACCATGGGGCTCCAGTGATTCATTTGTTAGAAGGAAAACACTGAGCCAAGTGTGGTGTTGCATACCTCTAATCCTAGCACTCAGGCAGGAGGATCACCAAGAGTTTGAGACTAGCCTGAGCTACCTGGTGAGTTCAAGGCCAGCTTGGAATACATAGCAAGATCCTGTCTCAAAAAACAAACAACCGGGCCAGGGATTTAGCTCAGTGGTGCCGCAGCCTGACTTTGCAGCCTGCCTTTCGCTCAAGGACTCAAGTTCATCCCCAGTACCAAAACAAACAAACAAAAAAGAAAACGCTGCCTGGATCCCTCAGGAGGGTGACTGAGACTGGACAGATGAGGCAGACAAAGTCGGCCTGGCTGCAGGAGGCCGTGCCTGTTACTGCTCAAAAGACCTGAGGGCCGGGAATCTGAGCACCTGGTAAGGCCCAGCCTCCTTAGTATTTTAGAAAACGTTGTTTATTTATCCTTGCAGTGTTGGGGATGGAACCCAGGAGCTCTCTTCACTGCTACACCCCGCCCTGTTTATTTTTTATTTTGAGACAGGGTCTCTCCCAGTAGCTGGGCTGGCCTAAGAATTTCTCTCAATGGAGTTGAGAGTCCATCATGTGCAGCCATCTGCTTGGCAGCGCTAGGGACACCACCGAGCCACATCCGGGTCCCCAGCTCAAACCGTTCACGAGGACAGTGCGGACAGCGCAGTGCACTGGGTTCCTTTCAATCTGATCACCGCCCCTGCGGCTGGGATGTTTTACAGACCCCGCACCCCCATCACCACGGCCACGGGCGCCGCGGGGCTCCGAGGAACCCACTCATTAACCACACGAGGCTGGAGGCGCGCAGGCCGGGAACGCACCCAGGCTGGGTGGCTGACCTCGCTCGGCCCGGCCCGGGGTCCCCAGCGAATGGCCACTGTGACCGCTCCCGCTCCCGCTCCCGGGCACACACGGGTCGGTGCTGACTCCCAGGGGCCCGGGACACTGCGGAATCGTCGCCCCTGGTTGCTACTGGGCCACATTCCAGCAAGGGGACCGTGCGACCCGAGTCACCTGGGCAGCGCTCCGGTCCGGAAGCTGCGGGCCCTCCCGCCAGCAGGGGGCAGCAGCCGCCCACGGGGCCTGCAAGGCCGGCGCTGGGGTGGAGGATGGAGGGGCAGTGGGGCCTCTGGGCCGAGCCTGGGGACTCCTGCCCGCCCGGTCCAGGCCACCAGCCCACTCCAGCCCGGCCCCACGCCCAGTGTGTCCTTCCTGCCCCCACTCCGCGTGAGCACTCGCGCCGCGTCAGGCGGGGCCCTAAAAGGCTAAGGACGAGGAGGATGGTCTCTGACGAGGACACACTCGTCACCCCAGGGGACCCCCGCAGAAACCCATGGGAGCAGCTAAGTGACCCTGACTGCACCGGTTAAATGCACTGGACAGCGGGGGACGCGTTCCTGTCACAAAGGACACCTGTTGACAGGGACACCAGTGAAGGCACCTGACTGCAGGGTCTCAGGGTTGTGCCCCGGGTGTGTCCTCCTGGAGGTGTGTAAGAAGAAAAGAACAGGCTGCTGCTCCGGGACCTGTGTAGCCTGTGCCCGGGAGGCTGTCCAGGTCTCCTACCTCTTGGTGACTTCCTCCAGCTCGGCTCTCAGTTTCCCCATCTCGATCTGCAGCCGGGCACGCTCGCAGGCCGTCTCGTCCAGGACCCTTCGGGCGTCCGCCAGCTCCGACTCGTACAGTGCCTTGATGCCGCTCACCTGGGGGACACAGCCAGTGAAGGAGCCCGGCCCTGCTCAGACTCAGACTCAGCACCAGAGCAAGAGGATCACAGCCCAGGACGCAGGGCACCCCATGTCACCCAGCTCAGCTGGGCAGAGCCATGAGGAGCAGGCACCCCGAGGAGGAAGCAGACAGCCTTGGTGACCCTTTCTGGGGTGGATCTGTCCCCTCCCCAAGTGCCAGCTCGTAGCACGGGGCAGTGCCTGGGTGACGCGGCTTGTGGCCTGGGACACCACCCACCTCAATGGGTTTGTCCCCCTCCCAGAGCACGGGCCTCAGTCTAAATCCACACGGGGACACAAAGCCCTCAGCTTCTGTCATGGTCATATGAGGTACATTTCCCATGTCCCCAGGTTCCAAAACCAGAAACTCAGCCAGGGATTTAGCTCAGTGGTTCTGGCGCCTGCCTTACAAGCGCAAGGTCCTGAGTTCAATCTCCAGTACCAAAAAACAAACAAACAAACAAACAAACAAACCCAGAAACTCAGTGGAACATCTAATCAGGGGTCTCCCCCTCAACACGGGGGTCCAGGTCATTCTCTGTGGGGGCATCCCGGGCACCACAGGGTGCTGAGCAATGTCCCTGGCCTCTGCCCTCCCCATGCCAGGAGCTCCCCAGTTATGACAACCATAAACGTCTCCAGATATGACACAGAGCCCTACTGTCCCACTTCTGGACCACTGCTTTCATGTAGTACATTTTCTTTTCTCCAGGTGACGAGACTTTTTCTTTTTTTTTGGTACTGGGAATCGAACTCAGGACCTTGTGCTTGCCAGGCAGACTTGGTGCCACTGAGCTACCTCTCCAGCTGGTTTTTCTTTCTTTCTTTTTTTTTTTGACAACACAACTCCTAATGGAAGGCACATCACATCCCAGTACCAGGGCTGTCCCGAGGCAGCCTGTGACCAGGGCTTGTGTCCCTCATGGCCAGCCCAGTCTGCAGTGTTCACACCAGGGCTGAGCCCCCTGAGGTCGGGCAGGGCACAGGCTCTTGCCCCTTGTTCAGTGCAGTCCCCACTGTCACAGAGCTGTGTGTGGGCCCACCTTCCAGGGCCACCAGCTGCTGCTGAAGCCCAGGGGACAATTAGCAGCAGGCCTCCACACTTGTCCCTGGCAGGGGCCCCTGTGAGCCACCTGCCTACCCCACACACGCACTTGTCTCTGCCCCAGCCACACATGCCAGCTGCGAGCACAACTGAGATTTCTTGGCGGCCTCCTGTCTTCCCCTAATCCTTGGGGCTATGAGCTGAATGCGTTTGAAACGTGGACGCAAAGCACAGTGACCTGTCACTTCACACCCGCTGGGACTCTAACCAGGGACAGCCGGGCACTGTGTGGGCGTAGGATGTGAGATGGCGTGGCTGCCGTGAAAACAGGGTAAACAGAGTCACCGTCTGACCAGCACCTCTGCTCCTAAGTGTGCACCTGGGAGACCAGAAACACATCCAGAAACGAGGGCACGAACATCATGGCAGTACTGATCACAAGCCTGCTGCCTGCCCCCTAAATCCCCACTCAGGCCCGAGGGAGTCTGCAGGGCACCAGGAAGAGAGGGCGTCATATCAGGAGGTGTGGGACCTTCAAGAGGCAGGGCCTCACGGGAGAGGCTCCAGAGGGCATCATGGTCCCCTCCCCAGTTTCTCCTCCCTCCCTCCCTCCAGTCTTTGAACTGTGACCATCTGCTCAGATGCCCTCATCTGTTAAGGAGCAGACCCACCTGCAGGGCTGGGCCCACAATGAACCTTTCCTCTCTGTAAGGTCACATTCTCAGCCAGCACAGATGGGACCTCCTGTCCCCACATGCCAGGCTTCTTCCGACCAGGAGTCAGCGGTGCATCTACTCACCAGGTCATGGGATGAACAAAAAACCAGTTTTCAATGAAGTCAAGATCAATACCAGGTGCACCAGAACTCAGGCACAGCAAAAGGAAAACTAGCAATTTTGAATCTGTACAGGGCATTTAAAAATGTTTTTGTTTTGTTTTTTTGAGACAAGGTCTTCCTATTGCCTCAGCCTCCTGAGTGCTGGGATGACAGGACTGAGGAACTGTGCTTAGTTTAAAATTCTGCACTAAGTTAAAAATTCCAGTTGGGTGCGGCGGTACACACATAATCCCAGCCACTTGGAAGGCTGAGGCAGGAGCATCACAACTTTGAGGCCAGCCAGGGCAACTTAGCAAAACCCCGTCTCAAAATTTTAAAAATCTTTAAAGGAGGCCAGGGATTTAGCTCAGTGGTTTCGCCGCCTGCTGCGCAAGAGCAAAGACCTGAGTTAGATCCCCAGTACCAAAAAAAAAAAAAAAAAAAAAAAATCTTTAAAGGGCTAGGAGTACAGCTTCACATGCATAAGGCCCTAGGTTTCATCCTTAGAACCTCCCAAAAGAAAAAAGAAAAGATTTCATTAAAGTATTATTCATCTGGGAGTGGTGGTGCACACCTATAATTCCAACACTTGGGAGGCTGAGGCAGGAGGATCACTGCAAGTTTGAGGCCAGGCTGGGCTACATAGTGAGTTCAAGGCCAGCCCGATCTATGTAGCAAGACTGTTTCCAAAAAAAAAAAATTGTTCACCTCGTCTGTCATCTAACTATGAGAAAAACTCAGACAGCACCTTGATTCTTGATTAAGGGGCACCCTATAAATATTCTGACTGGTCTCATTTAAGACTGTGCAGGGTAGCAGAAATAAGAGTTTGAGAAACACAGCCCCAAGAAGCCTGAGGAGACTGGAAGGCTAATGTGATACCAGATGTGGGGACAGAGAAGGACACTAAGGGAACACTGAGGAGAACTCAATCGATGGACCCTGTTGCTTTTTTTCTTTTGAGACAAGGTCTCACTATGTAGTCCAGGCTAGCCTTGAACTCACGGCGATGCTCCTGCCTCAGCCTCCCGGGTGCTGCAATGACAAGTGTGCACCACTGTGCCTGGATACTTTTGCTTTAGTAACAGTGACCATGGCCCGGTCTGCACACTCATCCATAGACCAAACCAGCCCCACCTGTTCCCATCCAGCCCATGCCCAGGAATTCCTTTCACATTTTCAAACGGCAAGGGCCGGGCGGCGCTGTTGATTAGTGACACAAGCCAATCACAGTAACTCACATTTCAGTATGACAAACACAGCCTCCCTGGCCCACAGCCTGGCCTGTTTATTTCCGCACTGTCTGGGGGGCAGCGGCATGGGTGGCAGAGATGAGGCCATCTGCCCTGCAAGGCTGAGACGCTGGCTCTGGCCCTGTGTGCGACACCCATGCTGCCTCCCGTGCGCACACACGCATGCCGCACGCGTACACACACACGTGTGGGAGGGGGGCAACCTCCCAGAGGGCCTCTCAGCGGGGACAGGTGGCCCAGCAGCCGCAGGGGCTGTGGCAGGGCCTCTTGTCTGGTGTTGCCCCATGACCCCCTGTGAGTGCCAAGCTTGAGGAGTCCCGACAGATGCGTGAGCATGTGCTGCCTGAGGGCGGGGGTGGCAGACGACCTGAGGTGGCCTTTCCCTGGGTAGCAAGGGTGCACGGTGTGGCACAGCTTGGTTGGGGCTTTGCTGGGCACTAACGTCCCCTCAGCGGGCCACCTGGAGTTCTGCTCTGCCCTCTGGCCTGGGCAGGGGCCCCCTACAGCAACCTTTCTCCAACACCCCCCGCCTGGGATGTGCACTCCAACGTGCAGTCCACTCCACTCCACCGGAACAAGGTACCAAAGAGCAGCCCCGGGACAGGCCCAGTGCCCACACCTGCCCTGGCTCTGTGCAGTCAGTGAGGTGAGGCCAGGGGACAGAAGAATGTGGGTGGGATGGCTTCAGGCTGTGGATGTCCCTAGCTGGTGCAAGCACTTGGGGTCTCCCACCTGCTCCATGCACTGGCATCTCCTCCAGCTGTGACAAACACAGGTCCCCAGACATGGCAGAGGGTGGCCTGGGAACAGAGCTCACACTGCTCCGCATGGCACCCCAGGGACCTCAGCGAGCCCCTCCCCACCTGCTGCAGCCTAAGTCCCAACCACAGCCCTCCTGGCCATGCAGGGTCACTCCCTGGACCCCATGTGACCACCCTGCAGCAGCCCTGCCCCTAGGTCTGGGGTCCCTGGGCTCACCCACTAAAGGCAATGCCAGCCCCCAGAGCTGTCCTGGAACACACCCTGCAGACCCTGGATGCCAGGGACAGGCCAGTGTCACCACTGTGGGGCTCCTCTTGCTTCCACTGAAGCCTGACTATCCTGCATCAGACCAGCCTCATGGAGCAGAGACACAGGAGTGCCAATGCCCACAGGCGGCCGGCGGGCTTCCCTGTGGCGGCCCATCCAGCAGGGCCCAGTACGGGCAACTCCCAAGTGCTCTGCACCCCCAGGGGTCCACGGGACACAGGGCTGGTGAGGACAAGGACCTGAGTGCCTGACAACCTGCCAGGCAGGACCCAGGCCTCACCTCGAGGATGCTGTGCGTGCTCCAGCAAGTTGACAGCTCTGTCCCCACAGGACACGGCCACATGGAGGCTCAAAGAGGCCCGGGGGCCTGTGCAAGCTCATGCAGACAAAGGCAGGGGCCCCTCGGTCGATATTCACAGGGTCCTCCACAGCCCTGGAGCACTGCTGGGTTTTCTGTTTTTGAGCATCTCTCATCCCTGGGCACCTACAGCAGTGATAAAGGACTCCTAAGAGTACTCTCTCTATCCTTTATCACTTTTATTTTATGAAACACAAGCTTCACAGCCCCTAGCAGGGCATTATTACGCCACCCATCTCAAAGCGGTTAGGCAACTTCCCCAAGGCCACTCTCAGGGTTGAAAGACTCCCAGAAAAGATCACTCTCAGCCTTCCCCAGACATCCCCCCCCTTCACCTGGCCTCCAGAATCAGGCCACAGATTGGGACCTCAGCCCCAAAACGGGAATCCCGTGGTATATATTGCTCAGCCCCTAACTCTGCAGACCCCACCAGGACTTCATGTTCCCTTTCTTTAGTTGGCAGTGAAGCCCTGGGCCCAACCCCAAACCCAACAATTCTTGCTGCATCACTGCCTTGTGCCTACCTGCTGCCTCCCTCAGGTTCCCTCAGAGATGGGACCCACCAGAGCACTGGGCTCAACTCAGGGCCACTCAGGTCTCCCACAGAACCCCAAGGCATCATAGCCCTCCCCAGACCACCATCCATCACATGTAGGGGGACCTCACCCCAGTCATGGACCTTCCCTGGTTTCACCTCAGGACCCCCCAAAATTCCACAAGACCATGTGATTTGGCCAGGGCCAAGTAAGATCCTTCACCCTCCTGAGCACCCCTCTTCTATGGAGACCAGAGACTCCCCCATTACCCCCAGGAATGAGAGTACTCACACTCATCCAGCCAAGATGCCCTATGCCCAGTTAGGGGTGAGGTCTACCCTGGTCTACACCTGCTCAGTTGGGGGGGGTCCCCCAAATCTCCAAATCTCCACAAAATCCTATGAGGGACAAAGCATGAGAGCTCAAGACTGCAGCCCATCCCTCAGGGGTACCCCAAAACCTGAGGACCCTTTGCTGGGTGGGCTGGCCCTATCTGCACCCCTTCCTGGTAGGACCCTGAAATTCATTCCCTGGGGACCTCCCAAAGGGGACCTCTCCCCCTCTATTCCTCTTGATGAGAGGTCCCCCAAGATCTCTGATTTCTCTGTAGGTGGAGTTTGCCCAATCTGACACACATGTCCTTAGGGGTTCTCCAAACCACTAGTGATCCCCAGGACAGCTGGGCCATCACCTCTTTCAGAGTGCCCCAAGGGAAGGGCCACGGGAAGGCACCGGCTCCCTGGTCTGCTCCCTCACTCAGAGGTCCCCCCAAAACCCCAGCGACCCCACAGGACAGCCACAGCCTGCACCTCTTACTGGGGTCCACAGAAACACTCCGCAGACCCCCTTGTGTCAGAGGTCCCTCAGATGTTGGACCTCAGTGGGCGGGGCTTGCCAGGTCTGCATCCCTCGCTCCTGAGTCTCCTAGAAACCTCAGGGGGTTCTCAGGACATTCCCTGGTCTGTACCGTTTGCTGAGGAGTCCTTGAAACACCCTGGGGACCCCCAAAAGGATGAGGTCTGTCCAGTCTGCATCCTTCACTCGGGGTCCCCCAAATCTCCTCGGATCCCCTAGTGGGCGGGGCATGCCCAGTTTGGACGAGTTGGGTCGGGGTCTCCTGGAATCTCTCGGAGGGCGGGGCTTACCCGGCCTGCACCTGCCCCTCGGGGATTCCCTGAGACCTCTAGGAGTCGCCAGGGACTCCCTCAGTCCGTACCCCTCGCTCGGGATCTCCCAGCCCTCTTGGCACCCCGGTGTGTGTCTCCTTCCCGCTCGGTCCCCCGAATTCCGCGGACCCCACGCACCTCGCGGGTGGTCACTTCCTCGCGCTCCGAGATCTTGAGCAGCAGCCGGTCGTTCTCGAGCTCGAGCGCGCGGACGCGGTCGATGTAGTGCGCCAAACGGTCGTTGAGCTCCCGCAGCTCCTCCTTCTCCTGCAGCCGCGACAGGCGCGTGGGCGACAGCGGCGTAGCGGACCCGCCAGCACGGCTGGGCACCGGCGAGGCCATGGCTACTGCTGCTCGCGGCCTGCTCGGATCGCGACGGTGGCCCCGGCTCGGCGCGCTCATTCAATCCGCACCGCGCAAGATGGCGCCGCCACCACCCACCGCCGCGCGGGGCCCGCCGGGACTTGTGGTCCGCCAGCCGCCGCCGCGCGGGGCCCGCCGGGAGTTGTAGTCTCCAGGCTCTGGGTGCATGCGAAGCACACTGGGAGTTGTGGTTTCCAGCTGGCTCCTGCTTGGGGATCCCAAAGCCTTGATTTTGAGCCCTTCTTGACCCGCAGTATAGGTGGAACTGGAGGAATGACATCGTACAAGTAAAATGGGATAGTTGCTGCATATTCTGAGTCATGTGTGGAAGCTAGAAAAGTTTATCTCATGGGGATGGGGATGTTGCTCAGTGGTGGGCGCTTATTTAGCGTGTGCAAGGCCTTGGGTTTCATCCCAGCACTGCCAAAAGAAGAAAAAGAAGGCTATGGCGAGTTTCCACGGTAGCCCGCTCCACGTTTCTCACACGTGGCGTGTACTTTTATTTTAGCTTTTAGCCCCTTTTTCTCTTTGTTTGGCTCAGCTGCAGAGCTGGTTTCATCCATACCCATTCACCCTGCACTTTTCAAATACACTTTTGACACCGTTAAAAAAAAAAAAAAAGAAAAGAAAGAAAGAAAAAAGAAAAAGAAGCCAGGGGTGGTAGCTTGGTAGCATGCCTGTAATCCCAGCACTGGGGATGCTGAGACAGGAGAATCTCCAGGGGGTTCAGCCTGGACTACAGAGTGAGATAGCAAGACCTTGTCTCCAAAAAAAGTAGAATAATGATTAGTAGGTGATTACTAGAGACTAGGAAAATTAGGAGGATCCTGGGAGGTTGGATAGTAGGTACACAAACCACAGTTGGACAGGAAGATTCAGTTCTAATGTTCCAAAGCACAGCCAGGTGTTGTGGCACCCACTTGTAATCCCAGCACTCGGGAGACTGAGGCAGGAGGATCGCCACAAGTTTGAAGTCAGCCTGGGCTACATAGTGAGATCCTGTCTCAAAAAAACAAATAAAGCACAGTGGGTGCCTAGAGTTCACAGTAACCTATTATACATTTTATGAGGAACTTGAAGAGAGGAGATGAAAGACTCCAAAGAAATGATAAGATGGAAATGCTATCTATCCTGATTTGATCAGCACGCACTGAATACATGCATTACATCACAGTGCAGCCCGTAAATGTGTGCAATTATTATGCATCAACTAAAAGGGAAAAAACGTCAGGTGCAGTGCTGCACGCCTGTCATCCCTGCTATTGGAAAGGCTGAGGTAGGAATATGGCAAGTTCAAGCCCAGCCTGGGCAACTTAGCCACTTAGCGAGACCCTGTCTCAAAATAAAAAAGGGGCTAGGAATAGAGCCAGTGTGAAGACCCTGGGTTCCATCCCCAGGACCAAAGAAAAAAAGGAAGAAACCCTTAAAAAACTTGTTTACTGAAAGAAGTCAGATTTCCCCCCTCCCCTCCAAAAAAAGCCACATTGCGGGTTGGCATATAGATAAAATGTCCCAGAAGATGTGTGAAAGAATAAAATCTCAACAACTTGAGTTAAATGGTCTCATTGGCTTTTCTCAGTGATTGACAAATCAGGCAGCACCCCACCTGTGAATGGAAAGGGGACCCCGGAGCCCAGCAGAGGGGCTGGCTTTATGGGCGGAAAAAGGGTTGAGGGAGCAGCAATAAGGCACAAAACAGATGGGTTGTTTCAGAGTTCCTTTCCTTACAGAATTAAAACCCACGGTGAGGGCCAGGGATGTAGCTCAGTGGTTCCGCCACCTCCTGAGCAAGCTCAAGGTCCCAAGGGCAATCATTGGTATTGAAAAAAAAAAAAAAAAAACAGAGGGAAAGCTGGGTGAGGTGCTGCACACCTGTCATTGCTGTACTCTGGGAGGCTGAGACAGGAGGATCACAAGTTGAAGCCCAGCCTCAGCAACTCAGTGAGACCCTATTTCAAAAAATTTTTTAAAAAGGGCTGGGAATGTAGCTCAGTGCAAAGAAACCAGTACCACTAAATAAACAAGTAAGTCAATAATAAAAACCCAGGAGGCTTCTTTATCCTGCCTATTTCAGTTGCCTGGCCCCTTTATGTTGGGGGGTGGGGAGCTGGTCCATTCTAAGGTCAGCTGGATCCTGTGGTGCCCACGTTAGGGCCTGCATTCTGGTCTGGCCTGGTCCCAATGCAACCTTAGCTGGTAACAACGGCCTCTGTAAATTGTATTTGACAAGGGGCCAGGGATTTAGCTGAGCAGGACAGCACATGCCTGGTTAAGCCTGAGGTCCTGAGTTCAATCCCCAGTACCAAAAAAAAAAGTTTTATTTGACAAGGGCAATCTACAGCACACTTGCTCCACTCACCTGTTGGTACCAGAGGCCGGATTGTTCTTGGGGGTGGGGGTGAGGTCCTCACTACAGGGTGACAGCAGTTTCCCCGGGTCCTCCCCTTAATGCCTGGAACACTTCCCCCCACAGTGTTCAGAAACAGCCACCTTCATGAGGGCAGGATAGGGGCTGGTTCCTGTTCCAGGCTTTGGAGGATGGGGGAGTCTTCACCAGCCCAGGTCTTGATCCCCTAATGATGCACTCCTGTCTTTTCAAAAGTTACCTTGTAGTTGGGGATTTAGCTCAGTGATACCGGGCCTGCCTGACAAGCAAAAGGTCCTGAGTTCGATTCCCAGGATGGAAAAAAAAAAGCACCTTGTAGCTGGGCTTGGTGGTTCAGGTCTATAATCCCAGAACTCAGGAAGGCTGAAGCAAGAGGATCCCAAGTTTGAGGCCATCCTAGGCAACACAGCAAGATCCTGTCCTAAAATAAAATAGTTTTTAAAAGAGCGATGGGAGTGTAGCTCAGTGGTAGAGCGCCCCTGGGTTCAATCTCCAGTACTACATGAGGAGGAAATAAAGAAAAACCACTAGCTACGTTGGATTAAGTACTGAAGGATTGATACTATTTTCATTTCTTCATAATGACAAGAATAGAAAATATTAAACCAGGAGTGGTGGCCCATGCCTGTCATCCCAGCACTCAGGAGGCTGAGGCAGGAGGATCATCACAAGTTCAAGGCCAGCCTGAACTACATAATGAGACCCTGTCTCAAAATAAATAAATAAATAAATAAATGAAATATTAAGCCAGGGTTGGGGTTTGGTCCAGTGGCCAAGACTTGCCAAACATGTGTGAAGACCTGGATTCCATCCTCAGCACCAAAAACATTAAAAAATCATAATAAAAAAATTTTAAAAAGAAAAAAATAATATAAAAGACAGCTGGTAAAATATGAGGGGATTGAAGGAAAGCATGGACTAACATGGGGAGAGCCAGGGGTGGGGGAGTCAGGAAGGGTGAGGTTTGGGCGTGCCATGGACTCATTTTTCCTGAACTCCACCCGGGACATACCTGCAGCCCCCTCCCCCTTGAAGTTGTCACTGGTCACCACCTGTGGGCCTCCCCATTACTGCCGGATGCCCCCCATTTCCCTCCTGAGCAAGGGGTACCCCAAGCATCCCCGGTGGGACCCCCACCCCTTGAGGCAGGCTGGGCTGGGCTCAGCTCGATGGCGATCTTTTTTAATTTTTATTTTGCTTTTTGTGGGTTTTTTTTTTGCATTGGAATTCTAATTTGAGATTAGAAAGCGTACACAGGAACATCATGATGTTAAGATATAGCGGTTGTTCTCAAATACAAAATAAAGACACCTAGAAATTACTATTATTTTTAGCACTCTTTGGGCTTCTTTGTTACTTATTGTTGCATTCAGAGTAGTTATTAGAAAATTTTGCTGATATATGTTTATTTATTTATTTTGGGTTTTTTGATTTTTTGAGACAGGGTCTTACTCACTTTGTAGCCCAGGCTGTTCTCAAACTTGCAGCGATCCTCCTGCCTCAGCCTCCCGTGTGCTGGGATCACAGGCGTGTGCCACCGTGCCTGGCCCCAGCCGCTATTTTAGCGAGTCTAAAGCCAGGTCTGAAAATAAATAAAATAAAATAAAACCAAGTCTGAAAGTGACCGCCGCCCTCTCTCCTGGGAGGATCTCGAGGTGTCGGACTCCGCCCCCTTCCATGTACCCCTCCCCTCCTGCTCCCCAGGGTTGGACTCCAAGTCCCAGAGAGCCCCGCGCTCCCAGGGTGTCGCTGTCCCCTCCTTCGTGCATTTTCGGAGGCATTGGGCGAATTTTAAAATTTGGCGCTGAGCGAGCTGGTGGGCGGTGACAGCTGCAGGTCCCCTCCCAGCTGGCCCGTCCGCCCCGAGGGGTCCCCAGGGTCCACACGCATTGAGAATGTGGGGGCTCACAGGCCCGTTTCCAGGAGGGGAAACTCAGGCAGGGCAGTCAGGGACCCGTCTGGGGACGCCCCCAGCAGGGGCACCCGTCTGGGGACGCCCCCAGCAGGGGCGTGGCGGGTGCTCACTGACTGCAATCCTAGGGCGCTGGGAAGTTCTTCGCTTCCCCTTGTCTGGTTAGGGGATGCGGGGCGTGAGCGGGAAATCCCGGAGCCCGGCACTGTCCAGCCCCGTCAGACTCTCCTGGGCGCCAGGTCCCTTCTGGGCGGGACATTTGGCGCCAGAGTTTTAAAAATCTCAGCCCAACGGATGCCTTCGGCTCCAGACCCGGATGCCAGGCCTGAATTCCGGAGCCTGGATCGCGGGGAGACGGGAGTCTGGAAATTGCAGCCCGAAATCCGGGGTCTGGATCTGGGGAGAGAGTGCTGGATTGTGGAGCCAGGATCTCGGGGCACCAGCGTTCCAAGGCTTGAATCCTGAATTCCAGGGTAAGGACTCGGGGAGATGGGGTCAAATTCTGGAGCCTGAATCAGGGAGGCCAGATCTTACAGAGATGGGGATCCTGAGTCTTGATCCTGAATAACTGAGGTAGTTTTTGTTTTTATTTTGTTTTGAGACAGGATCTCTCTATGTAGTCCAGGCTGGCCTCAAACTCACTGGAATCCTCCTGCCTCAGCCTCCCAAGTGCTGGGATTACATCTCTCTTTTCTGGATCTTGGGGGCCCAGATTGTGGAAGCTGGATCTTGAATTTGGGGTCTAGATGTGTTTGTGTGGGGGTGGATTCTAGAACCTGGATCTGGG